GTTGTTATAAAATGATTGTAAATCTCTTCACCATCCTTGGCGGGAGGTTATGGGCAAAGGTCAGTGATAGGCCGTGTGATCTAGTTCAAATCCCTTCTCTACTTGGGCCTTAGTTTCCTAATCTGCAAAGTGAAACCAGTGGTTCCTAAAGGGGAGGGTATGTGTGGAAAGTTGAGTAGAAAAGATAAACCAACAATCTCCAAAGACTTTAAAAACTGAAGGAAAAGGGGGCTTGAAACAACAGAGTTCTTCTCTTGCAGTGCTGGAGGTCAGAGTCCTGATAGGAACCTTAGGGGTTACCATCCAAATGGGAAGGGGTGAAGCTTCCTTCCTGCAGTCTCTAGGCAGGCCCTCTTCCAGCCTCTAGAGGTTGCCTGCATTTCTTGTCTGTCTGTCTTTCTGTCTCTCTATCTCCAGTTCTGCTTTGGTGTCATCCACTGATGTTCACCCACCTGCTTTTCCCTTCTAAGAACCCTTGCATGGGGCCTAATTAGGGAACCTGGGACAATGTCTACATCTGAAGATCCACAACCTTGTTATATCTTCAAAAGATCCACAACTTCGTTACATCTTCGAAGTATTCTCCGGCAACACCAACGAACATCACCAGAGATTTCAGGGTTTAGGATATAAAATTGTTTGACATATCCGTAGTTCTCTGCACTGCATGGCATGCATATCTTATGGCCAGCGTGGAGGTTCTCCGGAGGTTTCTAAAGTTGGGGGTAGTTGGGTGTGATTTCAGGAGGCTTTCTTTCTGGTGTCTACTCCCCAGGGGCCCCTGGTCTATCTACAGGAACCACAAAGATGAGAGACCTGTTGGTGTCACTGCATGTGATTGAAAAGTTTCTGATGGGTCTGAGGAACATAATTGACTATATAGTGCAGTGTTAGGGTTTGACCTTCCTAATCTGTCACAGAGAGAGAAAAACTCTCCCAACTCAAGGGCACCAGTTTCAGTCTCTCTCACCAGCCCTCATTGATCATAATTATCTTGGAATAGCAGCCACTGCAGAGAATGGAAGGATGTCTGTGGTTGGGGTTGCTGACAGTATATGAAGTAGTGTAGGATTCTGAGCAGAGGCAGATTTAGAGAGCAGGGCAAGAGAAGAAAGAGATCTGAGGATTCACATCCTACACTTGGCCTTCTCTGGTTGCATCTCAAAAGTCATCCTACCCAACACCCAGGCAGTCTCAGGTCAAGCCACAGGTGTGACATTCATCCTCTCAGGATGATGACACTTAGGACTTAAGGCAGATCTGGTCCACGTTTCTGGGCTGGCCCAAACCCCAGGTTGCTTTGGCACGAACATTGTTGGCAGGCAAAAGCTGATGCCACTTCAAAGAACCGCCCTCCCAGGTGCCGAAGGCTGCTTTTCTGATGCTTACACTGTCATTGTTTATTTTTGCAAGGCGCCCAGCTGCTGCGGTGATGATATTTATATCAATAAGTGCTCTATTCATCTGCCGATTTCAGGGGAGGCTTGCCAGCTGTGTACAGCAGCCAACCTCAGGGTGCTTCTGAGCCTGATGGCTTTGCATGTAGAGACTCAATCCTCTAAGTCTGTATCAACATCTGGGACTGAAAGATGCTTCCGTCATCCAGGACCCACCCCTCACCCCAAAAAGAGAGCTATAGCTGACAGCCTTGACTTTGTATGTCCCCAAAGCAGGGTGCTTCTTTGAAACCCCACTTCTGGCTTTTGCCAAAAGGACATCAGAAAAAGAGGAGAGCAAATAGGCGTTCATAGGTCCTGTCACACACCCAGCCTAGTCCTCTACTTTTTGGTGGTTTCTGATTTTGGAACTCTTCTAGGAGCTCTATAAAATCCCTGTTCATCTATTCTCATCATGTACATCAGTTTCCAGTCTTTCCTTGTTCAGGTCCCAAGCTTAGATTCCTCCTTTTCCTTCACATTCTGTCTTCAACCTGCCAGCATATTTTGTCAGCTTCTCTTCCAGTGCACATCTAGAACCCAAGCCATGGCTACCCTTCCTGGGTCAGCCTCTGTCACTGCCACCTGGTAATTGCAGTAGCCTCTTCTCTATTTTCTCTGCTTTGCTTCTCAGCAACTTACCTCCCTATCAAGACTCTGCTGATAATCTTAAAGCAGCCAGATGATACCACCCCTCTGCCTAAAGTTTGTCAGCGGCTCTCCAGTTCTTACAAACGGAAACTCCAGTTTCTTCTTATGAAGCCAGATCCCAATGGCTCACACCTGTAAATCTACCTGCCCAAGAGGCTGAGATCTGAGGACCACAGTTCAAAGCCAGCTCAGGCAGGAAAGTCCATGGGACTCTTATCTCCAATTAATCAGCAAAAAGCAAGAAGTGAAGCTGCGTCTCAAGTGGTAGAGTGCCAGACTTGATCAGAATAAAAAATAAAAACTAAATGAGGGCACTCTGGCCTGGAATTCAAGCCCCAGTACCAGCACATGCACGTCATATTCTTCCTGTGCCTTCCAAAGACCCTCTATGATCTGGCTCGGTTATGTCTCTCACTGCAGTCTGTTCTTCTCATTGCACCCTTTCCTGTCCCAGAAGACTCTGCTGTCTTTAAAGGTACCATGTGCAAGACCATTATGCAAACTGGGTTTTCCCCTCTCGTTGGAACACTGGCCCTTAAGAGAGCATGTGGTTTACTCTTCCCCTCTGTCATGCTTGGATTCAAATGTTCTCTCCCCACACCAGGCTATGACAGCTGCATCCTCTGCCCTCAGCCCAGGCTCCCCATCTCCCTCATGCTCCTTCTTATCTGTCTTTTCCGTACACTCGCCACCTCCTAACATATAGAGTACATTATAGAACATGTGCTGTTTCTCTTCCGTCTTCCCCCTTTAAAAGAGAAAGTGCAGGAGATGGGAATTTGCTTGCTTCCTCTTGCCTGTGTTCCCTCACACAATCCAAGATTCTAAAATAACTTCCAGTGAATACTGGTAGCAGATGCTCAATAAACATGGGGTGCACACATGAAGGGGATGTCTTCGGAAGTCTCATCCCAAATTGCCCTCATTTCCAGCCTCTCTTACCACACTCTTCTCCCTACCTCCTCTACCTTCCAGCCTTCCCATTCGGGCTGGGTGCAATCTTGGATGCCTGATAACCCAGATGGGATACTTGCCGTCAGCTGTAACTTTCTTCCCATTCACCTCCCATGCTCTCCAGACCTTGTGAACTCAACTCTGGGAACATATTCACAACTAGTCCCAGTTCCACTTCCAAGACACTTCCTCAGTTCACATTACCCCCCCACCCCGGCCCCAATCCAGGCTTCAATTCTTTCATACTTGTAACCTCTCCCTGCTCACCTCTGATCTCTGCCTCCCTGGTCTTAGACTTTACATTTTAACAGGAATCTTGGCTTTGTCCCTCTATGGAGAAACCTTCTATAATCTCTTCTGACTAGATAGAAAGGATTTCTAACTGTGCTCCTGGGAGCTAGGTTTCTGAGAGCCACCAGGAGAAGATAAGACATCAGTATGGGTGATGCTCTCTGCCTTGTGTTTCCATATAACCACCTCTTTTTGTTTTATGATGGTTCTAAGGCTTGAACCTAAGGCCTGGGCTCTGTCTCAGACCTTTAGTGCTCAAAGCAAGTCATAGTTCCACTTCTGGCTTTTGATGGTTAATTGGAGATAAGAGTCTCGTGGAGTTTATTTCCTGGGCTGGCTTTGAACCACAATCCTTCGAGCTAAGCCTCTTGAGGAGCTAGGATTACAGGTGTGAGCCACCAGTACTGGCCATTACCAACTCTTGATCTCTGTCTTATACACTGGACTTGCACAAAAGCTTTTATTAGAAGAAAAGATTATGTGGCTTACAAAGTAAAAACTCTGACATACTTCAGTCCAATGCCCAATCTCCTGAGCTTGGCACAGAGAATCTCTGCAAGTTAGCTGGGTCTTGTCGGCATGTCCTGCCTCAATATGCTCTTTTTCTTTCAAAGTAGCCCTAGCCCCTGCCACAGTGGAACAGGAATTATCTGCAAACAAGACTACATTTATCTGGCCCATCTGCCAAGAGTGCCTTTGCCCAGTTAGTTTATTCCCTGTACACCACATTCTCTCTTGCCTCCTTCATGGTCAAGGCCATCTTCCTCAAGGTCTTCCTTCACTCCCTAGGCAGAATTGATTGGTCCCTGCTCCTCATCAACGCAGCATTTCACTGCTGACCTCTATTACAGTATGGATACATGAGGATGGAATAGCTTGCCCATCTGTCTCTTTAGCAAGACTCGAAGCTCCTAGAAGGCTGAGATGATAGCTTAGATCCACAAGATAAAAAGTTATTCCCACCCAAGGCCTACACAGAGCCAGAACTCATATGTGAGTATGATGAGTTGTGTTTTTGAGTTTTCCTCAAGGCAGTGAAAAGACAGCTTTGCAAACATCTGAAAGGCTATTCTCATCAATTCCTCTGTGGAAAGGCTGCCTGAGAAGAGAGGGATGGGACTCAGAAACTGTCTCAAGACATGCCCTGGATCCTAAGTATGGAGATGTGTCCTAGGCATGTGATGATTAGGGCTGGCACACCTAGAAGGGCAAAGTCTTGGAGAGAGGGCTCAGATTTTAGTCTCCTAAATTCAAGATCCAGGTTCTACCAGCACAGAAGGGCTTAGGTCATGGATTTGGCAGGCATTGCCTTTTCTTCAGGGCCAGAGATGTTCCGTGTTGGAAGGGGACCTCCTGGCTTGTGAGCTCCACATCATTTCGAGGATAACCCTGAACAGTGTTTGGGACATAAATAACAAGAGGCTGCCCCTGAAAGCAACTAGCTGAAACGCATCGACAAGCGGAGTCACTAACTGGAGGTTTAGAGAGTCCAGCAGGAGATTCCTTGTGTCTGCAGGCAGCAGTCTGGACTGCCTGGTTCTCACAGTCAGACAATGCCCACCCTATGATAGATACATCACAGTGCTCATCACAGTTTCCTTCTGAACCTATAGCCTGGCTCTCCTGACCCACAGACCCACCTTTAGAAGCTACCAGGCCTCCACCTACCTGGGCAGTGTCCATCTCATTCAACATCACCACAGAGGAGCAGTTGTAATCGAAGACCAGCCTCCAGAAGTCTGTCATGGTGTTGGGTAGAGGGTGCTGGGTGACCACAAAGGCAGCAGGCTGCTTGTGGCTCTGAACAGAAGAATGACAGAGAGCTTTTGTAAAAGATGTTATTTATCAGTGTTATTCCAGTGATGATGATGATGAGATCTGGATGGCTGCCAGAGGCCCCAAACTTGCCAAATGGATGACACAAAGCACCTGCCTGGTCTGTTATTTCCCAGTGGGTGTCCTGGAGGCAAAGGGGACCTTCTTCTTAATGAACACATCCTCCTCCAAACTAAGACATTACATTAGCAAAGTGTCACTTGGATGGGGATTATCCAAATACATTATTTATGTCTTGGGACTCAGCAAATAATCATCATTACAAAGGTGAAATGAAAGATTTTGGACGCAGATCTGTGGCTCTGCCAGCCAACACACCTCCTGGGATTTAAGTGATCTGCTGGGTCCCTAAGCCTGTGGGAACGGGGAAAGGGGTTGGCCACTGAAGGGGCTTACATTGTGCAATTTACTCCTGGTCCTGTGCTGGGTGAAGGACAAAACTATGCTGACAGAGAGTGGTATTGTGTCATACAACCAATAGGGCACTGAAAAGTATCCAGGTATTAGAGTTAGGAGACTTGGGTTATGAACCCACCTTTGTGATTTGTTAGTTATGGGTCGTTTATCCCTCTATTCATTCACCCATTATCCACCATTTTATTCATCCTTTTGGTAGACATCATTTGTAGAGACCTTTTCTTGTGGGCCATAAGGATTTCTTTTTGTTTTTTCTTTGTGGGGCTTGAACTCATGGCCTGGTCATTGTCCCTGAGCTCTTTTGCTCAAAGCTAACATGTTACCACTTTGAGCCACAGCTCCTCTTCTGATTTTTTGATGGTTAATTGGAGATAAGAGTCTCACAGACTTTCTTGCCCAGTCTGGCTTGGAACCATGATCCTCAGATCTCTGCTTCCTGAGTAGCTAGGATTACAGGCATGAGGCACCAGTGCCTGGCTGACATAAGGGTTTCTCAACACTGGTAAGTTAGTTACATGGCTCCAAAGCTTTGATTCTTTAGCTGGAAAACAGAACTCAAATCCAAAGAGATGCTGTCATATAATTGAGTGAGATTTGCACATGAAAACTCCAGTCAGCAAGAATCTGATTGAATCTACTGTAGGACACAGCACTGCAGGCGCCTAGACACAGTGCAGCTCCAGTGAATAAATGAATTATTTAACTCCATGCTATAGGAAGGGGAAGGGTGGCCCAGAAATTACAAAAAAAGACTGTAAGAGTCTAGGAGCTTTCACTGGGCTTTATTTATCATGATGCCCTGTGAGGAGGCATTTGGAAATATTGGATAGTGTCTCTACTTTCTCAGTGGTTTGAGAAAGCTGAGTATTAGCCACATTCTCTGGGGAGATGATCCCCATGGGAGTGACAGGCCTTTTCAGTGGAGTTATAAATCTGAATGAGATGGGGAGGAAAAAGAGGCAGAGAAATTAGCAAGTGCCAAACAAGGCTTTGCAAATATGGATGTATGCATGCACCAGTGAGAACTATGTTCCAAGATCTATCTTCCCTCTCCTAGCCAATAGATGATCAGAGGAAGGATCTGGGAAGCAAACTATTTAAATGCCCAGAAACCAAATGCTCCACCCATACATAACATAACTTTTGATGTATTTCCAGACCTAGAGAAAAGAATCTAGGTTTCAGAGACAGCAGACATGGGCTCTCAGATCCTTGAGTCTATCCTTGCTGACTTTAGTTGACCTTCAATTGACCTACTGAACCTCAATGTCTTTGCTAAAAAAAAAATGGAGAGAAGAAATCTCAAATGCAGAATGAGACAGTACAAATCCAGTGCTCGACACGGGCCCAACACTCAAGGTATGTTAGTTTGCTTTGCTTTTCCCCTTGTCTCAGTGATAAATGCTCTATTAGGCCAGCACGCCTGACAAAGCCTTATCTGAAAATATGTTCAAGATCCCTGCTCCTGCCGGGTTTCAGGGATCAGCCAGCAATCCATTTCATGGATAACATCATCCTTTACCAGGGGATACATTAAAAATTAACCCAGAGGACTTCATATTTTTCTGCTAGAGGCAAAGCTGCTATGGTTACCAGATAATGCACAGACTGAGCTGGAATACTGATAAGGAGTTTTGTTGTTGTTGTTTTTTTAAAAAATATAAGAAAGGCAAAGGCCCCAGTGATGGCTCACAGGAAAAATGCCCTGTGGACAAAGAGAATACAATCAGAATCAGAGCGTGGAAAAAAGCATTTGACTCCAGGCACCATCTAACCTACTAAGTAGAGGCCAGAAGCTGGCTTGATCCTTGCTTAAATGAAGAAGGCACGGATATGACAGTGGGGAACAATGGTATGAGGAACTTGGATGTGTGGGTGGCCCCCTAGATCTCTTCTCTCATCACACACACACACACACACACACACACACACACACACACACACACACACGCACGCACGCACGCACTCACGCACATGCGCGCGCGCACACACACACACACACACCCCACATTGACCTTGGAAGGCCTTTAGCTGATTTTAGAGGTCTTTGCTACACTTCCAGCTATTAGATACCACCCAGATGAGACTCCTTTCTTCTAGATTCATAGTTTCTATGGAGACTCCTAGCTCCTGTTGACTGGGCCCAGGGCAGATCTCTTAAGAGCTAAGAAAGATATTGGCCTTCCCTTACCTCCTTGTATTCAATGCTTAGAACTCTTGGAGAGGAAGTTTTGGAGGATCAAAGGTTAGAGAAGTAGCTGGTCTTGATCAGAAAAGACAGCACTGCCTGTTGCTGTCTGTTCTAGGTAATAGTTTGAGAAGACCATGTAGACTAACCAGAAGTGCCCTCAGGATGGGGAGTGGTAGAGGGTCGCACTTAGGAGGTATGATGTCTGTATCTTACTGGATCAAGCAAACTGTGGGGAGTCTCAGACATGGAATTAAAGAATAAGGAGCCACTCGTGGCTCTGCCACTAGTTTCTTAGGTGACCTTGACAGCATCTCTTTCTACATCTGACCTCGGTTTCCTCTGTGGAAAAGTGCTTGGATGAACAAGATGGTCCCTGATTCCTGCTGCAAACATCTGCACACCCTGGAGGTGGGATGATGAGAATTAGAAGTCCCAGGGACAAGCACAGAAGTAGAAGCACAGGGCTGGCTATGAGGTGGGACAGACTATCCCAAACCGCAGCAGGGTGAAGTCCCCTCTGGGAATGATGTTGAAAAATCATGGGTGATATGCATCACAGGGTAATCAGGAATGTGGCCTGCTCCCTTCCTTGCTCCTTTTCTTGCTCCTTTTGCTGCCTTCTACTTGCTGAATAGCTGTTTTACCAAGCACCTACAATATACCTCTCCCCCGCCACCGCCCCCTCTGCCTTTCACAGGAGTTATCTAGGAAGCTGAGTGGGAAGAGCCAGCAGACAGCAGTTAGGTCTGCACCATGGTGTGTTCCTCAGGCTCAGGCCAAGGCCTGGAATGAGAAATGCTGCCAGATCTGAAAATCCAGCTGAGAGCCAGCTCCATGGGAGATGGGAGGAGGGTGGGGCAGATCTGTAGCTTTGTGCTGCCATTGAAGTCATTTAAGCGTTTGATTTATTCTCTCCAGGCTCTTTGAGCCAAAGTGCCAAGAGCATAGCTTCTGTCTAGGTTTAAATCAGAAACCTCAGGGAAGCAATAGTCCCCGAGGACAGCCGTCAGAAGCAAGCTGGCCTGGGAAGCCAGGTTCCAGCTTCTCCCTGTGATGGCAGCCGGGGCTCTCGGGCGGGGCTTACATCCATCAGTGCTGCGTTGATGTAGTTGCTGGACTCTCCGTCCACTGAGATGAGGAAAGGCAGGCAGCGGTCCAGAGGCAGGACATCCATGTTCCGGTTCTTATCATGGTTCCGGGGCAGGAGTCCAATGCTGCAATCCTCAGGTCGGACACGAGGGGTGACGATGTTGAGTGTCTGTGGGGAACAAAGGTGGGTCAGAGAGACACGGCTCAGATGCTTGCTCCTAAACAGGGATAAGGATAAATTCCAGTGAACTCAACGCTCTGTACCTTCCAAGCTTGGCCCTGGCTGTCTCTTTGCCAGGACCTGTGTTTCTCCTCGGGTGGTAATGTGCTATCATCTCCTGTTCACTGTTAGAGGGCTTTTGGGGCTGACAGTCATCACCAGTGACATCTTCAAGATGCCAAGGCTGAAGGCGCAGCATACCCATGCACGGGATCAGACAAGCTGACAACACCTGCCAACCTTCTGAGCAGCGTTGTTTCCAGCCAGTACTGCAATAAAAGATGGGCCATCCAGAGGGCCTTGTGGTAGGGGTGGGAAGTAGGGACTCCTTAATGAGGGCTACAGAAGGATTGGAAGATGCAGGGGGCATGCTTCTCTTGATAGATGAGAAACCCTCAAAGGCTAAATCTAGGAGGTCTGAAAAGCTACAAGGAGTTAAAGTGTTGCCATCTGAGACCAGAGCTACCCCTTCCAATAGATTAGATTCTATGCACAATGACCAGGGATTTGAGTTATTCATCTTTGTGTCCTTTGGCATGCTGTCTTGCCTCCACATTAGCTGAGTCTACTTGTTTAAAGGAATGCTACAAGTAATTGCCTTGTTGATGAAGTTTCCCATGATGCCATGGGGCCCCACCTTTGCCCATTGTCTGGGATCAAGTTCTGGTACTTTCTTGCTTCCTTCTACCTGGCTGTGAGCTCTTACCAAGTGATAGCCCTGGCCCTGACTTATGCTTAGATGTCTCAGACCCAAGTTGACACAATTTTGACCACATGGACTCTAAGATGTGCATCCTTTGTGTCTGGGGTGAGCCCTAGGATGTGATGTCTCCAGGGATAATGTATATACAAACAAGAAGAGCCTGTTACACTGCAGGTTCACATTCAAGTAGGGTCCAAGCATCTGCATTTTCTAAGATGTTCTAATGTGATGCTGATTCCCTTAGAGGAGTTCTTACTCCTCTAGGAGTGGAGAAAATATGGAGAGAGAATCTGAGTTTCCCTTTAAGGACTAGGAAGAATGGAGATTATGCTTGTGTGTATGAAAAGGTTTACATCCACAAACTGGACAAGAACTGAGACTTTGGCACAAAAAATGTAATCATAGATAAAACAGGTGTCAGCGGTCACTGAGTGATGGGTTGAGCGTTGCCAATGGCTGTGCATTTGATGCTGTAGAATGCATTTAGCGGCTGCCTGGTGCTGGAGATCGAAAGGGTATGCATTTCTCAGTTCTCACAATGCGTGCACAGAACCAATTAAGTTGGCTGGGTGACTACCATTATAGGGTAAATGTTGTGTATTCTATTCCTTCCTCATCCTAAAATGATGTGTTACCATCCTAACTACAGTGTGTAATGGAGTCTGTGGAAGGTAATACGGTCATGAGCGTGGATTCCTCATAAATGGCCTTGGTGTCCTTATAAGAAGAATCATGAAAGCTAGGCATTTGCGACTCACACCTTGAATCCTAGCTCCTCAGGAGGCTGAGATCTGAGGATCACAGGTCAAAGCCAGCCTAGGTAGAAAAGTCTATGAGACTCAGCTCCAATAAATTACCAAAAAAAAAATCCAGAAACAGGGCTGTGGCTCGAGTGATAGAATGCTATCTTGAGTGAAAGGAACTCAGGAACAGCACTCAGACCCTGAGTTCAAGCCCAGGAGGAAAAAAAAAAGAAGAGGCGTGAAAGCCTGCTTCCTCTCTGCATTCTGTCATGTGAAGCTATGAGAAGAAGGCAGCCATCCACAGAGCAGGGAAGGGTCTGAGTCCTCTCCAGGTACCAGATTTGCCAGTAGCTTCCCAAAGTGTGTGTGTGTGTGTGTGTGTGTGTGTGTGTGTGTGTGTGTGTGCTTGCATGCACGCACACACATGCACGCATACATATATTTTGTTTGTATTGCTTTGCTTCACTGAGATTGGGACTTTTCATGTAGCTCAGGCTGGCCCTGAACTTAGGATGCTCCTTCCTCCTTACCCCTTCCCAACAGTGCTGGGCTTACAGGCATGTAAACCTCCAGAAATGAGATCGATGTGTTATGTCTCCATAACAATTCAACACCTATGATTTAAGCCATCCAGTCTATGGAAGGTTGTTACCACCAGCTGAACTGACACCGGCCCTGAATACGTGCCCATACCTGAAACTCATCTTTGATCTGACTGGAGTTTGTCTGAGGGTCCAGCCTGCTGATGTTATAGTAGAGAGAGCGGAACTCACACACAGGGATGGCGGTGTTGCCACAGAGGCATGCTTCCAGGATGGCATCGTGCACAAACACATACTGCTCCTGCAACATTAACGGGAGGAGAGGGAGGCACCAGGTAAGAATAACCGTCACCCGGGAGTTCGTTCGCCATTTTGAGTCTTGTGGCTTATAAAGAATGGGCATGATTTGTGTTGCTGAATCCTGACTTTTTAATCCTGTACCCCAAAGAGCTAAGTCTCCATGGTTCATAGTGATTGCCAGAGATAGGGTGTGTTATTCTTTATGTAAGATAGAACCATAGAGCCCCATCTGATAAAAAAAAAGAGAAACTTCTACACATGTCCCAGGGATTGTTCTTGGTGTCCTACCTATATCCCTTCTGCTTTTCCCTTCATTTATTAAGAGTTCTTGCCACAAATAATCTGTGATTCTCTGATGAGGTCTTTCTTTCTGGTAGCCAAAATGTCTGAGCAGCTAAGACCACATATTAAAGGAGGCCTCAAGCAATGACACATGGAAAGTTGAGAGTGAAAAATAATCTAAGTTTCCCCTTCCTTTGTCAGTGGGACAGCGTAGAGACACAGGTCTTACACTAGCTCAGAGTCCTCCAAACAGCCTGGTTGTAAAGTATACTCTGTTTCCTTCCCTTTCCTGTCTAGCTTGCTACTCACCGTCCCATGTATCTTGAAAATGCCTTTCAAACAGAATCAGCTTGTCTTCAAGGATCTGTCTCAAAGATCTGTCCCCCAAAACATGTGTCATACCCTTTCCCACTCCTATTCTTTATACCTACTATCCTCCTGAGACTCCAAGACCCGTTTATAAAATATATTCGATATATCACTCCTTCTAGAATCACTTTTCTAAGACTTTTCTATTAAGCAGAAGCTGTGACTTATAGACTCTTGATAAAATGTTTGTTGAACTTTTTCCTTCCAAAAACTTCTCTAGTTCAAGATCTTATTGGGATGTATCATGATGCATTTGTGTTTGAAGATTCTTCCCATCAGACAGTAAGGACCACGTGTCTAACCATAGCCGGTGAGCTTGCCTTTTGCCATGCACCCTGGCAACAGATAAAGAAGAACTGATCCTCTTGTGACAGTGCTGGAATCCTGAAATCTCATTATCAGTGGGAGTTCCAGTACCAAAGATCCTTAGGGCTGGTGGGTTACTCCTCACACTTCTCACATACCCAGGTCCTTTTCTATAGGATGATGCACTCATGGGTTTCTCTCTTCTACTATGCCTCTCCTTGGCCAGGGATCAAAGCAGCCGGCCGGCTCCGTTCCCAGAACTCACCTCTGTCTGTACCAGGTTGACCCTCTGTGCTCGGAGCTCACGTACACAGTTGAAGATGTCCACCACCCCTTCGTTCTCAGCCATGTCGAGCATGGTGTCGATGGCAATGAAGCAGCCTGTCCGCCCAGCTCCAGCACTGGAAAGAGGAGTCCTCTGTGTTAGAGATTTTGGGGTAGGAACAGCTGTGGACCGGCCTCTAATCTTCCTCTTTCCCTTCCCTTCCCCACCCTCCTCTTTCTTTTCAACAAATGTATTGATAGATGAAAACAAGGAAGAGGAGGAAGAGAGAGAGAGAGGAAGATCACAGAGGAGAGGCCTCTGAGCTGCCTGAAGGCAGGAAGTAACTCTGGAATACGTGGTCTAGGGCCCTGTAGTTGATCCTATTTGTTTCTCCAGGACCATGAACCAGGGTATCATTAAACTGGAGCAGCTGGCAACCTGGAGATTCCTACCAGGGATCAAGTTTCCCAATACTTATTCAATTTTAGATCACTGATGGTTTGTTCAGTTGAGAGAATCAGAGCAAAATCATAAAACAGACCCCGAGGAACCTGGCTAACCCGTCCCAGATCAGCACTGGGTTCTACAATGGAGCTGAACCACAGACATGTAGCACATTTGCCTTAGTGGCACACAGTTTTGGAAAGAAAAGCCAGACAGACTGTCAAGGAGGCCCAGCTGGATGGTGATTCACATCTAGCTTCTCCTGTGGAGACAAATGTCATTGTCTAACATGGAAATCAAAGGAAACACAAAGAGGAAGAGAGATGGGATAAGACGGAAAAGCAATATTGTCTGATAAATCTACTGAGCACAGGACAATGGGGCTAATCACCCTCAGGGAAATGGAGTTTGTGTGTGGGTGGTGGGGGTGGTGGTTATCTTCACTTTCTTCTGAAAAGTAAACTCAGAGGAAGCAGTCTGCAAGCCAGATGACATTTCACGGTGTGAACAGAGGAAAATGGGACTCATTCTTGCTTCAAATCACCCCACCCCCACCCCCAGCCATACTCTAGACCTCTCCCCCAGGGGCCCTAACACGGTAGACCTTGATGCTTCAGAGGCAGCTCAGAAAGCCACTGTTTCATCTCTTCTCCAAAGTCTGATTCTCAACTTGCTTTGGGGGAAAAGCCAGCCTGATGTGGTCTTTGAATCTTGGATCTACCAAGTTGCTGGGTGTCTGTGAGCCTCCGTTTTCTCACACACAGTAACGGGCCTCCTAGCAGAATCCTCGTAAGGACTGAATTAGGTTTATTTCAGAATGAGATCGTAATTAAACATCATCTATGGGAGAGACCCCTGGGATTCAATCTTGGTTCTATTGCTTACTGGCTGTTTGACCTTTGGTAAACGACTTAATCTCTCTGGGTTTCACAATTCTCATTCATAAAATGATGCTGATAGTATACCTGGGAGCATTAACAGTATATGTATATATTGTATGAAATTACATTTAAAAAGCATTACGCATGTAAATTACTTAGCTTTGTGCCTGGCTGCACAGTAATTTCAGGATAAATAGTTGCTACTTATATTCCACAAATATTTATCAAGCCATCTATGATGCACGAGATGCTGGAATTAGGAGTTGGGGTTGTGAGGAAAAAAAGAAGACTTTGGTTCCTGCCTTCAAGGATTGCTAAAAGGTATGGAGTATTAAGAATGGTATTTAAGTGCTTACCATATGTCAGGGATTCTGTCAGGCACTTAGTAGACATTAGCTAACCCATAATAGCCCCAGGAGTACCGGGTACCACTCTGCTCATGCATTTCAGTGCCTTTGATAGAGATGGAGGCACAGGGCATCCTGCAGAGAGCTGTCATGGTGGAGGACCTGATACATGTTTACCTTTGCTCCACTTTCTCCCTCACTCCTTACCCTGGCTGCTGTTTACAATACAAGGCTGAACACAAATGTTCTATGGCTCTTGGTGTGCTCTGAGTTACAAAACAGAGGACGCACAAAAATGTTCCCACAGGCCAGCAGGGTGGGGCTTCCTCTGTGGAGTGGGTTGTGAGAGGATGGAGTGTGTGGGAGGAGCTTGCTCTGAGGCTTCCTGGTCCCTTGGCTGAGGTGGACATTGCCAGGGCAGGGATGAAATGACTTGAACATGCAGGTTCTGACAGGACCCAAGGTCACACACAGGCACTGGGTCAGAGAGGCCCCGGGCTCGCTGGCCTCTGGGTCTAGACATCTGCGCCCTTCCACTTTTCTGTGCTGTGGACATGCTACGGTTCATTTCCATTTAGGAGATTGCCAAGACACAGCGTTGCCCGCTCAATGTGACTTTCTATGTCAAGGCTGAAACTAGTCCTTCTCCACAGTAAGGGCAAACCTGATGCCACCCACTTTCTCTCTGCTAAGAACCCTGCAGGCCAGGGTTTTAAAGATAACAGAAACAGGCAGATGTGTGCTTGCACCACGGCATTCTACCGCCACACCACCAAGTCATTGCTGAGTGTCTAGAGGATCATATTCAACATCGCAGCTCTGCCAGTTTCCATCCGTGTCTACTATCTCAGTAGCTCAGTTTCCTGGTCTGTAAAATGGGTATAAGACCACCCACCTCTCAAGGTTGGATAAGAAGTCAAATGACAGGGACAGGGGCACATGAGGCTACCAGTGCCCTGCCTCCATCCCCAGCAACTTTACTATTTCAGGACAATCACAAGAAGAGCAACAATCACTACTGCTGTTGCTGTTGGAGTTTGAGTCCTGGGTCCCATGGGAAGGGGCTTAGGCTCTGGGGTAGAGCAGAGGCCACTGGGCAAGTGAGGGTCTCCCTATCTGGAACAGAAGAGCAAAGAGGACATTCACCAGGGGTGTTATGACCCACCTGCAGTGGACCACGATAGGCCCAGCTTCGGGGGGGTTGAGGAACTTGACCTGGCGGACGAAGCCTAGCAGGCCTGTGGCATAGCAGGGGACACCGTGGTCAGGCCAGCTGGTGAAGTGGAAGAGGCGGAGTTCCCGGATTTCATGGTAGCCTTTCTGAGGAAAAAACAGAGGCCCCTGTCCCTCCAGCTCTGCTCTCAATGTGGGGAGCTGAAGCTGCTGTGCAGAGGACCCTCCCCCCCCAACACCTCCCTGCCTTCAGGGTCGGTCGCTGTTACTTCACTGACCGACTCTGAAAGATGTGCAACTAGCTAAAGTGAAACTGGTTGCTTCACTGCAGGCCTTCTCAGAGCCTTAGGTGTGTTAATATGCATTCTGAGTCCAGTGTTTTTCCCAGGAGACCTTCTCTGACAAGGGTTTTGCAGGAGGTGCATTGAATACAATGTAAAAGAAGAAAGGATGGCAGTGGAGAAACTCAGTTTCAAGTGTTTCCAGTGGAATACAAGGCCTGTGTGTGTGTGTGTGTGTGTGTGTGTGTGTGTGTGTGTGTGTGTGTGTGTCTCAGTGGTAGGCTCGAACTCTTGGCCTGGGCGCTCTCCCTCAGTTCTTCAGCTCAAGGCTACCACTCTACCACTTGAGTCACAGCACCATTCCTGATTTTCTGGTGGCTTATTGGAGATAAGACTCGCACAGAATTTTCTGCCCCAACTGGCTTTGAACCATGATCCTCAGATCTCAGCCTTCTGAGTAGCTAGGATTACAGGCATGAGCCACCAGCACCCAGCACAAGGTTTTTGTTTTGTTTTATTTTTTGACATCTGGTGTCCTCCAGTCTTGTAGTCTTGTCAGTGATGGTCTACATGGCTTTTAAGGCTTAACAAGTTTAGCAGACTATGTCACTAATTAGACTCTTGCTTAGAATTATAGGATGGGAAACTAATGGAGAGCTTTTTTTGGCAGAAGGAGCCCATGGGGCCCAGATGGGCTCCTCTGTCCTGTGCTCTTACCAGTACCCTCATGGCTAGTCTTGCTTTCCTGACCATTCCTTGGCCAGGATACATGTCAGTCTTTGTTCATGCCATTCACCCTGTCAATCCTTCCTACATAGTTCTCTCCTACATATATTTCAAGAGCATCCACGGGGAAGGACTTAGTTGATTGTTCAACTCATGTTAAACAATATTTCCTAAGGGTCATTTGTGCCTAGACTTGTGATTAGTTCTAGGAAGGGAGACATAAAAGCCATGATTTCTGTTCTTGGAGTCGTTCATGCTCTTGCTGGGGGGATGGGTGGTAGGTGGAGGAGAGCCCCAGAGGGATAATTTAACTAAAGACTTAGTTCAGGGCTGGCTTTGAGCCATGATCCTTAGCTCTCAGTATGTCATATGTAGTATGACACTCATGTAAGGCAGCAAGCCAGATGTCCACTGGGTCACACCATCCCAAGGCTCAACAATACAATACAGCAAGTCCTGTATGGCTAAGAAATGGTGTTGAGTGGGTTAGGATTCCTTAACCTGAGTTTTCAAATGACCATATTTCCCATTTACAATAGGTTTATTGGGATTACGCTGTTGTGAGTCAAGAAATGGCTGTATGTAAGAGTAATGATAGAATTGCAATGACCATATAATGGACCGTATGGATAATAATTAGTATCTGGATCTCATCGTGCTCCTTTGACGTGAGCTCCTTCAAAAACTAGACTAGCATCTCATGACTTTGAAACTACCTTGTTGGGCTTGATAAATTCCTCACAGGGGCAGTGCTGTGTGTGGTAGGTAATTTGCTAGCACTTCTGGCCTCCATCCACTAGATGTCAGTAACAACCTGCCCTTCTCAAGTCCTGATGCCCACCGGGGCCTCCCTCTTCCCCCCTCTCCCCTACAAAGCCCAAACACATTGAGAAATACCTCTGGAGGACCTAAACTCACTTCCGGAAACTTCAGTGACAAGGGAGGCCTTTCTCCTCTCCACACTCCTCTCCTCCACACACAGGAATACTATTTCTTCCATCCTTTCCTTGGCTGTCATCTTCCCATCCTTCATTCTCCACCCCAAGCCTTCCTCCTCCAGGGAGGTTCCTCTCTGACTTCTTCATTCTCCTGTGGCTTTCTCTCTCTACCCTTTTTCTACCTTGTAGCTTTCATCATAGCATGTCTTCATTCCATGGACATGTCTGTTACAGTCTGTCTGTCCCTTCCACTAGTTGTGGGCTTTGCTGATCTGATTGCGGACTAGTACAAATTGTGGGGTCAGGCAGGGATCAGGGCCTTGGTCTCCAACTTGTCTGAGTGAACAGACACGCCAGCTGGCTCTGTGGACAGGCTGCCCACAGCCAAGAGTAGCTTACCTTCTGGACAGTGAAGGTGCGGATGACGTATTCTGCCAGGGGCTCTGTTTCGATCAGGGTGACTTTAATGTCTCCATAGACCTCTGTGTCATCTGGCCAGTATCGTACACACTTCACCTGTGGCCAATGGAGAGAAAGGGAAGAACAGCGATGAGGGTGTGTGAGCAGGTGGCTTTCCCATTTAAATAACCCAGGGGGAGACTTTGGTGGTATTCCTGTCCACGGGGTGCTCAGCTGGCCGTGGCTCATCGAAGTGCACAGGGCCAAGTTCACTCCCAGAGGAACTAGGGCCATGAGAAATAATAGTGGTACCTTCTTTTTTCCAAGCTCCTTGTGATTTCCCAATGCATCATGACACTATGATCAGACAGAACTAGGTAAGACAAGTGGGCATCGGTAGCCTAGCTCTGCAGATGGAAACTATCACACCTAGGGTGTGGTGACAAGTTCAAGGTCGACTTTGTACTTTTGGCTGCCATGGGGGAGGAACAGCTGAGTTTTATCAGCAGAACAAAGATGAGAATAAAGGTTGGGGAAACAGCAAGGAGGTGGAAGCACACATGGTCGGGAGAGGGTCTTTATTCACAGGTGGTACTTGGGGGATGGGGAGGAGGAAGGCCCTTTACTGGGGAAAGGATGGAACATTCTAGGCTCAAAGGGAAGAGTCACAATTGTTCTCAGCCTTGACACAGTGGGCACCGGAACTACAGACAAGCTATCCCACACTCAACTCTGAGTCACACTTCACTGAGGAAAAAGAGAGTTCGGTTTTCCCCTTAAAAGAACAAAAGCATTATTACCATTCCGGGGGACGCCGCACGGCTTAGCGTGGCATTTCCCACAGTGTGTTCCGCTGGGTGCTAATAGGTATTAGGTGAAAACAAAACAAAACAAAAACAAAAACGAAACAAAAAACAAAAAACAAACAAACACAAAAGGTTTTGTGGTCAAATGAGTTTGGGAAATGCCGATTCAACAAAGTTAAACAGGCTGCTTTGCTATAGGACTACTCAGATCCTCGAATCTGTTGATGCTGTCTTAGGACTCTCCAAAAGGGACTGAGGACCCAGCATTTCCCAAACCTATTTAACCATGGAACCCTCTTCTCACTGAGCATCCTGCAGACTAGCATCCAATGGAACCCACTTAGGGAAACACTGATACAAGGGCCATAGGGTATACAGGCAAATTCAATCATTTCTTTGTTGTCCTAGTCAGTAGCTGAATAACTTCCAGAAACTGCTGAAACTTCCCTGACCCTCTGCCTATTAATGACAGACAACACTTAACGTGATCTAACGCCACTCACTCGGTGTTACTCGGTTAATCTTGATTTGTTGCCACAACTGCAGATATTCTTATCATCCCCATTTTACAGATGAGGATCTGAGCATCGGGAAGCTAAGAAAGTCATACAGAGGAAACCTTGGTAAGGGATAGGGCTACCATGCAACCTCAGGCTGAATAAGAGCTAGGAATGCTGTCTTGTACATCATTGTAAGACAAATTCGATGCCTACAAGTGTTTGGCCTAGCATCTGCCCACAAGCAGGAGTGCTACTGGGAGACTTGTCTTCTCCTTAAGTCCAACATAGACTCAAGATCTACCCATTGAGGAGATCTATTTCCAATGAGGGATGTGTTGGAGCTAGCCTGGATTTGCCTCTGAATGCTCAAACCCTGGGCTGGCCTTCCTGTCCACAGTAGCTGCAACCTGGGCCTAAATCCATGGGCAAGAATTTGAACAGACTCAATGTCAGGTTCTGAATGTTGGGTTCTTTCAGGGCAATGATTCACCCCTGGGGGCAGTGGGGAAGGTCTGTATCCTCATCTGTAAAACTGAGGAATGAGCCAGATAAGGGTGAACTCAAGAATTAAACCTCACCAGGCCTTCATTTCCTATTTGGTCATGAGCTGTCCACACCTCTTAAATAAATTATGAAAGCCTAGTTTCCCCTTCCCATGACCATGGCTAAGGTTCTTTGTTTTTATTTTTTATGGATTATTCCATTCTTGCCAGGGTAAACACTTACCTGCCCACTCTTAGTGAGTTCATTCTCATAGACAAGAGGCCCTTTGAGTTCTGATTGAAGCTATATAGCTCAACCCGCCCACCAGTCACAGCTAACCAAGTAGGCAGAAGCAAACTGGGAGTCATCATCTTACCTCTAAGCTCTGGTTAAGGACCGCCTACAGCAGAGGCTAAACAGAAGCAGAGAGGGGGACCAAGGCCTGAGCGCTGAAGAACAGCAAGGTTTTGAGGTCAGAGAAGGAGGAGTGAGTAGCAAAGAGTCAGAGGTTGCTGACAGACAGAGAAAGATGAGAAGAAAGGAGTGGTGAGTGGGTCTGTCCACATGAAGGATGTGAATGGCCATGGTGAAAGGAAAGGAGGAGCCCCACCAAAGTGGGCAGAAGAGAACAGAGCAAAGAAACAGCTTTGATGGGAGGCGTCTTTCAAGTTGGGGCAGTAAAGTAGAAACAGGACAGCCATTGTTGCTTGCCCATCTTGACTTTGGTTTTTCTGTTTTATTTTAAGGTAGAAGGTACTGAGCATATATGTATGCTGAGGGGGGAGGGGATAATCTCAGCCATGAGGAAGAAACTTAGTTTCTAAGGAGAAAAATCCCTGAGCAAGAATCAAAGTTTCAAAGCAGTAGGCTCACGTGTGAAAGGGTGAAGGCTGAGCTTTTGCTGGATTGGGCTCAGCCCTAAGAAATGGCTGACCGTTAGCCATCGAGGGTCTGCTGAATGCACAGAAACAGTCATTTCTTATGGCTGAACTTGACAACAGATGGGAAGAACGAGAAGATGGTTATAGATGCAATCAGGATGCAGCTTTTGTGATGAGATGATGAGGGAAATCGTGGCTGATGCTTTAATTTCCTCCAAAGAGAGGAGGTGATGTCATCAACAGAGTGACAGGGGGTGGAGAGAAGGGTTTTGAAAGAGAAGGACTCCTTTGGAATGTGACCTAGGAGGGGCTCTGTCTCCCCCGGAGGCTGCTGGGAGAATCCTGCCTAGAAAGTACTTGGGACAACACATGGCACCCAAGTACCCTGGGGCACATCTCCAACACCCTCTGGCCAGGTGACTACAGGAGAGCCTTACCCTGCCCACCTCGACGAGGTTTGTGACCATGACAATGCTGGCCGAGTTCTCCTGCCACACCATTCTCCAAAAGTCTTTCACTGTCTCCTGCATGGGACCTGCCAACAGAGAAGATGCTATGGTTAGCGATGGCGAAGTAAGGAGCCGCACAGACTGCTCTTTCACAGTATTGGTACTGTTTGGGGCTGTGTCCAAGAGAGTTTTATTTTTTAAAAAAAAATAGGCTGTAGGATGCAATGAGAGACAGGAAGGAATTAGGGCCGGGAGGGTTCTGTCGGTGAGGGTTAGAGCAGAAGATGCACAATTTTACACTTGCCAAATGCTGGAGGCATTTATCGTCAGTCTGAACAGAAAATATTTTTTTAAGGGGAAGGGGAAGAAAATATAGTCAAGGAGTAGGAGATAGGATCTGACAGTCCAGAGCAATTTCCCAGGAAATTACTCTTTGAACGTCTTGGGTCTTCATCATTTTTTAAAATTACGAAAGTAATTCATGTATTTGATATAAAAGTTTGAATGCTACTTTTCTGTGTTTATTCATATATGTATGTATTTATTGCAATAAGTATATCTATCATAAGCATTTTTTGGTGCCCTTAAAAATTCTCCCCAAGTGTGGAATTTTTTTTTTTATAGCTGCAGAATTTTCTACAATACTGAGGGACCACACTTTGTTGAGCCAAATTTTCCATTATCAAGCATTTAGGATTTTCACTATGTTTTCTAGCAAAGATAATGCTGTAAAAATGCTTTTTAAAAAAAAGATGTAATTGTCCTTCTCCCTCCACCCCCTCCTGTTTCTTCGGAGAAGGATTTGAAAGGTGTGATCTTTTATTTTTTTTTCCTGGTCCATTGTTAGGCTTGAACTCAGGGCCTGGGTAATATCCCTCAGCCTTTCTTGCTCAAGGCTTTCTTGCTCACTCTACCACTTTGAGCCATAGCTCCACTTCTGGTTTTCTGGTGGTTACTTGGAGATGAGAGCCTCACGGACTTTCTTGTCCAGGCTGGCTTTGAACTGCCGCTCTCAGATCTCAGCCTCCTGAGTAGCTAGGATTAGAGATGTGGGCCACCCATGCCTGGCTAGGTGTAATCATTTTTAAACCTCTGCTAACATATTGGCAAATAGGCTTCTAAGGGCAGCTGGCTGTAGCTCTTTGGCAGGCATGTACATGAGACAACAAGGTACCTTTAGCTCCAGCCCTGTTGGGTGCCACTTGCTAAAGGCCCATGCTTCTGGCTTCTCCCCTCAGTGACATGTCCTGGTAGACAGATAGTTCCTTCTGCTCTCCTCCCTAGAGCATACCTTCTATCTTGTCCTTTCAAGGGCCTCTAGGGGTTCTCTAGCTCTGCTCTGGTTGGGTTTCTTTGCTAATGGAGCTCAACCCCTCTTTTCCAGAGAAGGGCCCATTTCCTTTATCTACAAATCAGTGCAGGGTTAATGGGCATTGGAGGAGTGGACAATGGAGCTTGCTGTGATTTCCCAGAACCCATCCTCCCTGGCACCCTTGTGGTCCCTCCAAGCTGCCAGGTAGATAAGAGAACTCTTACCTTGAGTGGCAATGTAGTGCCGGGGCCGATGGTACCCCTAGATAACAGGAGAAAAAAAAACAACTATAGTGGAAGAGGCTCCATTTGAAACTTGCAAACAGCACCAAGTGAATAAATATGTTCTCCTGGCTTGGTTTCCTCATAGTGAAATGGGAATAGTAGTAGCCATTCCCCAGAGAAGTGGCAAAGATTAAATAAGCTGATGCATATAAAGTACTTAGTAAGTCACTAGATATTAGCTATCCTTTTTGAGGCACCCGTTTGGGCTTGACTTGGGGCCAGTAACACTAGGAGCAAAATATTAAGGGTGGGCATCCTTTATGATCATGTGCTCAAAAAGAAGGAGGAGTTTTCAGTTTTATGGGGGATATGAACTATCACAAAGTCTCTCCTGTACCTTAATTATATGCAGAACACTTTACAAGGCCCTAAGGGACAGCCAGAGAAGAGAACTGAAGAAAACAATTCTATCGTTGACTTCTTGCATTAGTAACAATTAGAAAAAGAAAATGGGAAGGATGCCACATTGCTTCTTTCTGCCAGCACAGTTGGGCTTGCAATTAAAGTTCTGGCTGCAGAAAGGATCCTATGGAGGGATGAACTCGCAGACTTATAAACTATTTGCTGATTTAAAAACCGATTTCTGATTGGGGCATTTCAGAGAGCTCCTATAAGCCCATCTCATCTCGGCTATGAGATTGCCCCATTGACTCATAAACTTACATCCTTTGGGAAAGAGGTGATGAGTGATCTCTTTTGTCCCAATTCTTATTACAGGAAGTAGTGTATCTCATTGAGTAGAAACTTGAGAGACTAACAGATCTGTATTTAGCACAGAGCACTAAATGCAATTGGTATTTGGAAGCTGGATGGAGAAATGGATAATTTAAAAAACCCACAAAGGCCAACTATAGAGCCTATGAAGAGAGACATTGGAAGTGCTAAAATTGATTAACCTTTATGTCTAAACATGTCTAAAGAAAGTAAGTCCTAAAGTCTGATGCACCATGCTTTGATCTTAAATTTTGTCACTGTGTTTTTGTCCCATCAAGGTAGACGGTTTGTTTCAGATTTGCCATCTCTGTGGCTTTTGGTGTATTTAGTGTGACATTGCTGAGGTTCTGGTGAGACTAGTCAGTATATGAGCTCCCTGTACATTCCTTTATCTTTGTTTCTAATTCACTCATGAATATCCAGTAGGTTTCCCCCAAATGATGGTCATTCTCTAGAGCAATTCTCAGCACCCAACACTGCCAGAAGCCCCAGCTTAGAGCTCATCACCTGTCTCCAGCTTCACCCACAGCCTCATTTCCTTCTTCATCTGCTCCCATAATGCCATGGACCCCGTGCTCTGGCCCCACCTCCTAGGTCTTCAGATACAAGACCTTCTGTGGTGCAGAGCTAAGTCCCTCCTCCTGAAGACCTTGTTTATGCCCAGGGAACACAGCAGCATGTGTCACACTGAGGTTTTTTTGTTTATTTGTTTTATACTCTTCTCTACCTGGGCCATCTAGAGCAAGGTAGAGTTTTCAACAAAGACTAGTTGATGGAATACATGTATGCATGCATAGGTGAGGTTTTGAAATGAATCATATTATACTATTTTATTTTTTACTAACTAGTTGTAGAAGGGGTTATAAGATGTTTTTGAGGTTATGTTGAAGTACCCCTTTAGTGCATGGGCTACAAGACCAAAGATCTTGAAGAAAACTATGATCTGGAAGATTTTGGTTTTCTTAAAAGTTAATAGGGCCAGGCTGGGTGGCAAATGGGGGTTATAGATTGGTCCTATGCTGATCTGGGGAAAAGTTTAAGGTCCTATTTGAAAAATAACTAAAGCAGAAAGGGTTGGAGGTGTAGTTCAAGTGGTAAAGCATCTGCCTAGCAAGTATAAGGCCCAGAGCTCTGAGTTCAAACCAAGCACCACACACATACACACACACACACACACACACACACACACACACACACACACACATCAATGAAATGAAATTTGGAGGCAGAAATTCACATCTAAATTGTGAGGTTAGATGGCTGAGGGTCATTCTGTGCTTGCCTTTATTGACTCTGGTTTAATATTTAATGAACAGGGGTTCAAGGGAGCCTACCACTAAGAACACAACATCAGAAAACACAAAAGTGGAGCAGATAAATGTGGGCTCTTCTTTAGAGCAGTTTGCACACATCAACAAACTAGGGTAAGAGGCACTAAATGGGTAGATGCAGGGCTCTGTGGAACACCCACAGGAATTGACTCAGCCATGAAGGCCCGAGGGATGTTCTCTGAGGAGGTGCTGGTTTAATTGGCTTCTTAATTAAGCCAAGTTTGGGTCTCTTGGTCTCCCTGCCATTCTGTTTTTCAGCAGTCTTCCCACTAGTGCTCCAGAGCTCAGGGGCCTTGGAACACTTAGGAGCTGAGGCCAAGTTTCTGTACAGGGCCTCATCATTGGTCATTCCCGGTGGCAGTCATGCCTCTTCCTAGGTAAAGGAGTACCTTGCTCTCTCCCTAGCTCTGTCTCTTCAGCCTTCTGTGGTGTTGGCAGTCATGGCCCCAGATAGCCCTTCTCTGTCCACATTGTCTGCTTCTCTCCCCTTCAGTTCCCTACCAGGACTTGTACTCAGAGACAGGTCACTGTCCCTTAGCTTTTCACTCAACGTTGGTTCTCTACCACTTAGGCCACATCTCCACTTCCAGTGTTTTGCTTGTTAACCAAAGATAAGTGTTTCATGGATTTTCCTGCCTGGGCTGGCTTTGAACTGTGATCCTCAGCTCTCAGCCTTCCAAGTAGCTAGGATTACAGTGCTTTAGTCATATACAGGCTTATTGTCTGTCTCTCCTGGTTAAATGGGAGCTCCATCAAGGAAGACTTACCCAACTTGCTCATGTCCACCTGGCTCATGACTGTGTTGCTAGCACTAAGAAGTTTGCCTGGCTTTTTAGCCTTGATTTAAACATACTGAAAAAGTCAAGCTGGGTGACTGTCCCCATGCTACAACTAAGCAAAGATACCCTTGCTGACCTCTGGAAACCCACACATTCCCTGAAGAGAAATGATTCCCACCACAAGACTCTTCAGCGAAGGAGATAAAAGGAAATGTACTGCTCAATTGGGTCTCCTCTGGGGATTTGCCAAGAGCTGGTACTGCAAACTTCCTAACCTTAAAAGAACTTGGAGTTCATTTAAGTCCCACCTACACAGCACGCAGCCTGCCTGCAAACCAGCACTGGGCCTGCCTCCATCTGTCTGTGAGCAATGGGAAAGAAGTTTGCATCCAAAATGCATTTATCTCACTCTACACTCCTGCATCTGTTACTTACTGGGGACCTAGATACGATATTTATTTCCAGGCTGGTAATTTATAACAGATTCAAGTGGCCAATACGTTTTCGGGTGTGCAAACAAACCTGCCCGTGGAAGGTTCAGACAGCAGCAGCAGATCATGGCCTCTGGAGGCCCTATCAGGGCTGGCCCCATCCAGCTCATTATCCAAATGGAGACATTTTAATGAATTGTCCAGATCCAATTGTGGAGAAAGGATTCTAACTTGAGCAGTTAGCTTTTTTTTTTTTTAAGAGATAGGAAGGCATCTGGCCAGGGTACAGACCAGTGCAAAGGAAGACAAATGGGTGTGTGCATGTATGCACGTGTGTGTGTGTGTGTGTGTGTGTGTGTGTGTGTGTGTGTGTGTTGCCAGGAATTGCCATGAAGGCCCTAAGAGTTAACTTTGCTGGAGAATCCAGTAGGCTTACAATTAATGTGATTCCTCTATTTCCTTCCCTACAGTTATATCACTGCAAGAAGGTGCTTGTGCTCGATTTCTACTTTTGTCTACTTCCCCTCTCTTCCTCTATACTCTGTTCTGCTCTGGAGGCTGATCTTAGCAACTGCACCATGGCTTCCCATACCCTTTTTCTTCTGGCCAACTGGGAGCTCAGGCAGAGGTTCAGAAGCCAGCAGGAGATTGGGGCTTATGTCCTTCTAAGTCCCTCTCTGCCAAGTCAGCATGAGTTAGTCTGGCTTTCTGTCAAGCTACAGCCCTCTCCTTATAGAGACCCCTTCCCCTTATAATAGCTACTTCCTAACACCCTCTACTAACTCATCCTTCCATCTAGTGAGAGCCCTTTATTGTTTGCAGCTCCAAAACCTGCACCTTGTCTGTTGACTTCCTCCAATTCTATTCACATCTTTATTAGACTCTCCTCGGTTACCTCCTTTGAATGGGCCTCTGTTCCCTTTAGGTACTCTGATGGGTACTTTAACATCAGTTATGATTTACTTGTAGGTGGGTATTATTCCTTTTGCAGAGACCAGAAAAAGTAACTTACTCATAATCACAAAAAGGTAGTCATTAGAAAGGCCTGCATTCAACAGGCCCAACAAGGATCAAATTCATGACTATAGTCTTGTTAGCCCTTGATGCAGCCCAGGGTTTGACATAGCCTATTAGGACAGCGTGTGGCACAGGCATTTGGCATGCTGGCACAATCTACTTCTTACAGAGAAGAGGAGGGGGTTGTAGTATAGTCTAGCTGGGCAGAGAATTAAAGTGTAGCTGTGTGACTTTGGGCAATGCTCTTAACCTTGATCCCTGTTTTCCTGTCTTTATAGGCTGGCAAAAAGCCTTGTAATGATACAACATGGTAGACACAGGAAACCTGGTTAGTATTAGTGCTGTAGAGATTTACTTCCATTTACAACCATTTCAGTTGTTGCTTTACAAAAACCAGTAGAAGCCAGTCAATTGTGGGTAGAGTGGGTAGGGCAGTGGCTGGGTGTTTCCATTCAGATGACACATAGATCAGCCAGCCTGCAATACCCCTGGATAGGCTGGGGCCCTGAGGTCTGTCCCATCCATCTAGACACAGACAAGATCAAGGAGAAAAGGAAGGCAAATCCTCGACCAGCGTGTACAGCTATGCTGCCCAAGTCCCCATGGAATGGTGCCTACAGGGTGATGACAGGGGCAGATGGAGAGGAAAGACAAAGAACATTGCTCAGGGAGTCCTTCAGCTCTGGGGTGGATTCTGATTCTTTCTCTGACCAGCTCCATGGCTTTGGAGAAGCTTTACAAGCTCCAAATCTCAGCAACTACAATCAGAAAATGGGAGAAAGTAAAAGGGGTAAGACCCACCGAGAAAGGGCATGAAGAAGTCTTGACGAAGCCCAGGGATGATGCATCGCGAACATGCTGCTATTGTCACTGCTCTGCTATTTTTAGAGGCAGCGGGATATGGTGGGGGAGTGACTCCTGATTAAAACTCCTGCTTTTCTTTCTTTACTATCACTTAGCCTTGAGGATCTTAGTTTACTCCTCCAGAAATGGGTTGTAGAGACATTGACCCTGTGGGGTTGAGGTGCTAGGTATGGTAACTCAAGCACGATACATTGTTACTTTCTGTCTGGCTCTTTTTTTTTTTAATCTAAGGCATGGTTAAGGTACAGAAGCCTTCTCTAATCCTTCTTCCCCTCCTTGAGATAGAATCCCTGCTCTGTGAGGGTCTCTTTTCCTATTTTTTTCCTATTGGACACTCTCACCAGACTGAGTTTACTTGAGGCCAAAGATGTGATGTGAAAGGTTATTATTTCTAGCACAGAATGAAGGAGGGTCTGCCTGGTGTTTGTGAAATGAATACTAGATCCATGCAGAAGAGGGCGGCTGAATGCTTGGAGTGCTTTGCTCTGTTTGGAGGCAAGCTACTCAGAACTGACCACCTCCTTGCAAGGTCTCTCCAAAGGGGTATGGAGGCAGAGACTTACTTTCTTCACTTCCACTGATGCTCCAGTCTCAGAAAAACAGAAGCCACTGCAAGTGTTACAAACAGAGGGAATTCAATACAGGGAGTTGGTTACACTAGCTGATGGAGGAGTGGAGATGACAAAGGGTCCATGGGAGCCTTCCTCCAACCAGTGAGACAATAGAAGACAGAGAAGATAGCAGGGTTCATGAGCTGGGGCTCTCTGGAAGGAGCTAAAACCATGGGGAGTCTCACCTAGGGAGCCTGGAGCTGTAGACAGGATACCATGGTCAGACTTGAACTGACACCCAAGAAAGGGAATGAGAAAGGGACATACATGCTTCTTTTTTCCTTGAATCTCTCATCATTCTCTCTCATTGAAGAAGCCAGCCTCCCTCTCTCCCCACACACTACACTCAAGCTCCTATGCACACAAATGCTGCCACCGGCACTGCAAAGTAGAATGGAGAAGGATGAAGAAACAGGTCTCAGAGCAGACAAACCGATGACCAACACAAAGCTCAGTAAGTATTTGTTGAGTTGATGAACCATCTGGCTCAGGGAAGATGATGAGAAAATTTGCAAAGCATGTCACTGCATGTAACAGTTTATCTACAAATACATTTGGGAGTCTCAAGGACCAGGGCCAATCTCAGAGCCATCCTTCAAGGTCCAGAGAAGTCTGGCTTGAGTCAGCCATGCTAGAATGTTCACTTGGCCACAGGAGCCACAGTGTCTTTCTGCTTGGCCACAGTTGTCTCTTTAAAAACTCTCTCACTTTTGTGAATATCTTTCTTGGTTCCTGTTGATGCCCTTCAATGGATGGATGGATGGATTGGGAAAATGTGGTATAAACACACAATGGAACTCTATTCATCCATTAGGAAGAATGATACTACACCATTTGCAAAGAAATGGATGACCCTGGGGGGAAAAAATACATGAGGTGAAGTAAGTCAGGCTCAAGGAGACAAAGGACACATTTTTCCCCATATGTCTAAGTTAGACCTAATTTATAAATATACAAGTAAACATATATGGATCATATGCACATGTACACAAATGTATTTGCCAAAGTATGGTATGTGCGGGGGAGAATTCCAATGGTGTCAGAATGAAGTCACAGTCTACCAAAGTGAATACTAGGAAGATGGTATTTAAGGTGGGTGTGGGGGGGATGGTCAAGGAAGTGGGGTAAATGATGGAAGAGAGGAAGGGGAGGGAGAATGTAGTCACAATAGTCAATACATATCCTATGAAACTAGGAAAACAGGAGATGGATGGTGTGGGAGGGATGGAGAATGATGAAAGGGGTAACAGCAATCAAACTACATTATCTTCATAGACTGATCTATTGACCGGTAACCCCTTTGTATAACTACTACAAGGCAATAAAAACATAATTAAAAAAAAGAAAATGGAGAGAATGAGGGAACAGATGACATGTACCAAAGGAAATATACTTATTATCGGACGTTTGTCAATGTAATCCCTCTATAACACCTCTGCAACAACAATAAATTAATAAGAATTAAAAAAAGAAAATGTTTAAAAAATGATCAAGTCCCATCTCCTTCGTGTAGTCAGCTAAGTCACCGGAAGCTAGCACTGACCTTCTTTTCTACTCTTTCCACCGTAACTCCTTCACCCCTTCAAATGGAGTTGCTCTGTCCGTCCCTTTCAGCAGATCCATCTTAGTTTCAGCTCTCTCTAACCAGAGGCCCATCTTCCCTCTCTTTGATTTTAAATTCTGCTTGTGCCTGAAGCTCTGGCTCACATCACCTTTTGCATCCCTGATGGAAGGAGTGATATTTTTTCACACTTCTGAATCCCTGCAGCATTTTATCTGAACCTGTGACACTTACCACTTTCTAGTTTGCCCCAGTATTATTGATGTGCGTAGCTTATCTCCTTTCTGAGAATCTAGAGGGTAGAGATCATGGCATTTTCTTTTCTTTCTTTCTTTCTTTTGCTTTATAATTCCCATGCACATCATCTAGCATACAGTGGTCGCTTAACTTTTTTTTGTTGTTATTGTCTTAATGTCTGCACCTTTAAATGAAAGGCTAAATAGAGACATATGCAAATGAATTTCTGGGCTGAATGAATAAGACTGGCAGTCATCCTGGGCCTCTATAGAGTAGGCTAGTCCATTCTGCCTGAAGGAGGATGTAACTTGAGATGATAGACAGCTTGAGCCACGCAAATCAACTTGGGTCCAGACTATTCTGAATATATTCTGCAAAGGTCATCCTTGAAGGGACAGGTCAGGGACAGCCACAGATCTTGAGCATGCACAGCCAACTCTAGACTCCATTTGCCCAGCCCCATGAAGACACTCACATCAATGTAGTTGGCATTGATATAGTCAGAGTGTGGGTCTCCATCCAGTACCAGCAGCCTCACTCGGGAATGGTCATCTGCAGAGAGAACAGAAAGCAGGGAATGGTGGGTGAGAGGAATTGGAGTGATGAGCCATCAATTCTGCCCTTTAGATCTTCTGTACCTGGTCTCATACCACACTCTCATTTAAGCCTTCACATTCCTCTCAGGTATTTTCAAATCAGGAAGCTGATGCTCTGGGAGGTTACCAGCCTTAAAATGAATCTGGAGACACCTCTTTCCTTGTTTTTTTCTGCCTTCCATGTGGATTTTGGTTTTGTTATTACTTATCTGAGCAAGTGACTCACCAACTTCTTTATATGTAGGGGGAAGAGGGAATATATTAAATTGTATGTAGTTAGGGATTTCCTCATAACATTTCCATACATGTAAATAATGGGCTTTGAACATATATTCCCCCATCTATTAATGTTTCTTTTTCTCCTCTCCTTTTCTTAGTAATTGCATTATTAACTTAGAGGTGAAAATGCCAGTTTCCTAGGACCCTGCAAGAGAGATCAATATAGATACATGAGAGAGGGAGAGAGTGTGGAGCCTAAGAATTAGCTCTATTTTCATGCTTGCTTACAAACAGCAAGTTCGCCTATTTTTCACATGTGGCCAAATCGCTTTTCTTTTGCTTCCCTGAGCATTGGTGCAAACAGATTGTGGGCAGCATATCATTATCAATATCACCACTGAAGTGAGGTTGACTAAATCATGATAAAAGTGGTCATCAATAACTAATATCATGTTACTGAAGATACCTCTTCAAACACAAGCTAGGCATAGATGAAGACTTACAGGTTTTAATCAATAACATGCTTCCTTCAAATAACAGCAAATGCAACTATCAAGAATGGTACTGCAGAAGAATCAGGATAATCCCTTACAAGTAATTAAAGTGAGCCCTGACATTTTAATAGGCATATGCAAAGAGAACAGCTTGTTTAGATCTGGCAGGAGAAGGCCCTTAGTTTACAACCTAGATTACTGTATGTCTGTTATACAGAAACTGCATCCATTGGCCAGTCAGCCTTGCTCCAGTACAAGCGTGGAATATACAGCCAGTAGGCTGGTGAGCTCTGGGCATCTTCAGGAACTCCCAAGGATGAAAAAGTTCAAGTCAGCTTAGACCCTTAGATTTAGACTACACTCTGCAGTTCCCAAGCATGTGGATTGTTTCTAAGCAATTGGAACTCCCTAAGAATAGGGATATTACCTGTCTTGTTCCCTGTTCTATCCCTTGCACCTCAAAAACTAAAAGAGTGTGCCACATGACAGGCAGGCAGGCATCAGTGAGGACGTGGTGAATATGTAAATGGATGGCCTTAATGAATCCTCACAATGACTCCATGAGAGTGGCCAGTGGGTTCAGTTGGCCTGTTTCATTGCAGTGGACGAAACTGCTCAGGCTCCTGGCCAGTAAATGGCAGAGCATAGAAGAGTGAGTTCAGGTGCTCCTGCTTTCAAAGGGGGTGTATGCAGGGCATCAGATACCACCTCAAGCACACACGGTGGGGGGATTAACCACAGAGAAGTGGTTGTCAGGTGAGGGAGGAAAATTTGAAGAACAGATGACAGGAGAACTAGATAACTGAGAGAAAAGCAAGGAGGCTCCAAGGCACAGAGAGAGGAGTAGGGGTTCCCAGAACTCAGGAGCTGGGGACACTTGGCTGGAACTGGAGCTACTATGAACCTCTCCAGTGGGACTGGGAGACAAGGGGCAGGCTCTGATTTTCAGAGGCCAGCTCCCCACAATGCAGAGTCTGCTAGGAGAGGCAAGCTAGGGAAGCAGGCCCAGGACTGGTAGAGGATACAAGCCCCTGTTAGTCACTTCATTCAGAATTAGCAATGGGGCACTGTGCTGATGTCAAGCACACCTCTACTTTTCTTCTCCATGGGGAAGGAGGAAGTGGGGATATCTTTGGGTGAGTGGAGGATAGAGGAACAAGGTATGAGTTAGAAAAGGAGTTTGATTTTTTTAAATTGCTGATTCTAGGGCTTGAACTCTTGGGCATGAGAGCTGTCCTTGGGCTTTTGTGCTCAAGGCTAATGCTCTACCACTTGAGCTACTTGAGCTACAGCTCTACTTCTGGCTTTTTGTGAACAATTTGAGATAAGAATCTCAGGGACTTTCCTGCCCAGGCTGACTTTAGAATTGTGATCATCAGATCGTAACCTTCGAGTAGCTAGGATTACAGGCATGAGCCACCAATGTCTGGTGAGGGGTTTGATTTTTAAGCTATTCCTGAAATATATATATATATATGTATATAAATATATACATATGTAGAGAGTTATATAGTTATATGGTTATATATATGGTTATATATATTTATATGCACACATATATGTATATATATGTATATATACACATATATACATATATGTGTGCATATAAATATAATATATATGTATTCATCTTAAATCACTTGCTCCTCAAACTACGCTTGACATAATATCACAATGAATGAGTCTTCCCAATTTATGAATTAAGAAGCTAGAGCTCAGAGAGGTTAAGCAAATTGTCCCAGTTACAGAGCTATTCTGTCAGGTCCCTCTGAACCTGAGCTCCTGCTCTGCTCTGTCCTGGGACCTCGAGCATCTCACAGGTAGAACTGAAGCATGTGTGCAAATGGGTGGCTTCCAGCTCCCTTCATTCTCCAGCCTCAAAGAAGAGGGCTTTCCAGGGCTCAGGCATCCAGCGGGCTTAGTGGCTGACTTTGAGCCCAGGGATGCCAAGTTTTGTCACTAGCAGTTAGAGAAACTGTAAGCCTTGAAAAAATAGAAATGCCATATTATATTTTCATGTAATGGTTTCACTAATGACTTATTGATCCGAAATCTCCTTTATTTATTGAATAATGTCTGCCCCTCGGGTCCATAGCACTGGAAACAGAAGTTCTGGTTTAAAAGGTTGAAAGAGATTTTTTAAAATATATAAAGTAAAAAATTTAAATCAGAAAGCAAGAGCTGTGAACAACAAAAAAAAGAGAGATGAACTTATTTCTTCTAGCTAGATATCCTTAAAAATGAAAGCCACTCTGACCACTAGATCATGGGGTCTGCTGTTTCTTCTTCACTCATTTACTAAGAGCACATCTTACTGAGCACCTACTGTGTGCCAGGATCACTGTAGGGGCTATGATTTTGTCAGTTTAGTAGGACTATGCACAGAAGGGAGGTGTCCAGGTTTAGAAAGCAGGAAGACAGGCTTCTTGTAGAGTCATATGAAAGTGGCATCCAAAGGAAGAAGGCTTAGGCCAGTGGACAATGAGGAACTGTTTTCCTTAAAGGGAACTGTGAAAGCAAAGGTATAGAGATCAGGCACACTGGGGGAGCTGCAGAGAGCCCTCTATCCTGGGAGCACTAAATATGAAGGGACAGCAGTAGGCTTTCCACATACATTTTTTATATATGTATTTTTTGGTAATTTTCATCAGTCCTGGCACTTGAACGCAGTGCCTGGGTGTTCCTGAGCTTTTTCACTCAAGTCTAGTGTTCTACCACTGAGCCAGAGCGGCACTTCCGGTTTTCTGGTGGTTAATTGGAGATAAGAGTCTTACAGACTTTCCTGCCTGGGCTGGCTTTGAACCATGATCCTCAGATCTCAGCCTCCTGAAGTAGCTAAGATTACAGGCATGAGCCATCCATACCTGGCTCTACACAGTATTAAGTGATTAAAACTTGAGTGACCAGGTTGGGTTCTGAAGGGCATCTAAATTTTGTCTCTCTTTTCTAGGCTGGTAGAAGAATCTTTTAATATAAGAAAGCCAAACTTAATTTTCTCCTGGCCTGACCAGTGGCAAGGAGGGTTCCCTTTTTGTGTGTATGTGCCAATACTAGGGCTTTGAACTCAGGGCCTAAGCATTGTCCTTTAGCTTTTATGCCCTTTTGCCACAGCTTTAGTTCTGGCTTTATAATTAGAGATTAATTAGGGATAAATAAAGAAAGATAAAATAAATTAAGACAGAGATTCCATCTGGTTAATTAGAGATGATTCTAATAAACTCTCTTTTTTGAGCTAGCTTCAAAGTGGGATCCTCCGACCTCAGCATCCTGAGTAGGATTACAGGCATGAGCCACTGGTGTCCAGCAAGGAGAGTACACTTCTAAGGTATGATGTGGGTATGGAGAGATGGCTGAAGCCTGGGTTCAAAGCTTAGCTTGGTCTTGATGCACGTCAACCAATCTCTCTTCATCTTGCTTTCCTTAGCAAAATGGAGCCAATTCTAGCTCACTCTTATAGTAGAGAAAGGCTGTAGATGTGAAAAGCAAATATTAGGAAATCATGAAGCTATAGGTAACAAAGTAAGAGAAAATATTTGCCAACCCTGTATCTGATCAATGATATCATGTATCTAAAATATACAAAGAATACTTTAAACTCAAAAAATAAGAAAGCAATTTAAATAATGTACAAAAGAACTGATGGACATAAGAAGAAGAAATGCAGGTGACATATACAGGTCTTATTTCACATGGAAACAACAATGAAGTTGGCTGTCATGCTAGGTACTCTAGAGGCTAACATCAGGAGGATCTCAGTTCAAGGCCAGACTGGGAAAAAATGTTCCAACCAAGATAAAGCTAGGTATGGCAGCACATGCCTGTCATCCTCAGGATGTATAAATGGGAGGACTGAACTCCAGACCAGTGGTAGGTAAATAGGGAGAAGCGAGACTCTATGAGTAAAATAATTAAAGCAAAAAGGGTTAGTTAGGGATAGGTGTATGGCCTTGTGTTAAAACTGCAGTGCTACCAATGAGTAAATAAAAAAGCATGATGTCATTAGATAGACATATTGGAATGGTCCAAATCCAAACCACAGAGGAGGATGCAGGACAACAGGAACTCTCATTCATTGCTGGTTGAAATGCAAAATGCTATTCCTACTCAGCAAGACAGTTTCTTACACAGCTAAACATGTTATCTATGATCATTGGTATTTACCTATACTCTTTGGTATTTACACAAATGTTCTGAAATTTTAAGGCCCACCAAATATCTATACATGAATGTCCAGATCAGCCTT